GGGCATGCGTGCACGGGGGGAGAGATCACACAGCTGGATGGGCATTCAGAGAGGGACTCAGGGTCAGGTTCCCTCTCTAGCCCACTCTCTTGAGGACTGACTCAAGGTCCCACAAGAAGTACCTCAATCCCTTCTGAGGACAGTACCTCCAAGTAGGCCCCACGTCCTAAAGGCCTCTTCACATTGCTACACTGGGGACCAAGAGTGCCACTCACGAGCCCTTGGGGGCAAGTGACATCCAAGCCAGAGCGTCCTGTCCACCTCCTGCAGAAAGTGGACTAATTTGCCCCTGGTTTGTTAAAATCAGATCCTGTTGTCGTGGCCAATCACAGTTCTCCGTGACTTTCTGCCTCTTCATCAAACCTGGCCTAAACAATACACAGTTTGCCTTGGGTCTTCATTTTTAGGCTCCTGTGTCACCTAAAGCTGATATCAAGTAAGTAAATGTGTGTGCTTTCCTCGTGCTAATCTGTCTTTTGTTGCAGAGGACCTCACCAGGGCCCGGCCGTGGCTGAGAAAAGCCATTGCTTTCCTCTTGGGGCCTCTTTCACTCACATAGTATTAATGCCTGCGTCTCCCCCTCGTCCAAAATTTAAAACAATAAAAGAGGACAAATTCAGACCCAACAAGCTAAAACTTAACTGAAGAAATCAGAGGAAAGGAAAAGCAAACAAAACGATGCTTGCAGAAAGGCCTCTGGCTACGTTTCATGCTGTAAGTTTCTTTGTTAAGTCAAGGTTGCTGGTAAATGTGGCTCCGAGCCAAGGTAAGCGGAGAAATATAATCAGCTTATGTGACCCATTGTCCTTAGGAAATGTCCCAATAAAGAGCCAATATTTTCTTTTCTCCTCTCGCCTACATTCCCCGGTCCCCATAATTTCATCAGAATACAATTTGAGGCCCACCCAGCCCCAAAGTTTGAACCCTCGGAGAATTTGCCGAAGACATTTCAGTCTCATCAGAACCATTTCATATCCCTAAAGGCCAGTTGCCACCTGTCAGCGGGTTTGAAACCCCTGCTCGAGTGGTCCTGCCCCCGCACAGCGTGCAGGAGGGGAAGGCAATTCCCGTCCCTCCATGAGAACAACTTTCCTACCCGAGCACTGACCTGACTGTCTCCCAGATGCGCCCCACAGGTGGGGAAGCTGAGGCTTAGGGCTGAGAGAGGCCAGATCGCATGGCCAGCAAGTAACAAGGTGGCCCTGGTCATCCTGGGCTGCACCCACCCTGGTGTGACTGTTGGATGGTGCAAGAGCAATCTGCATCCAGGAGAAACCACACTTCAAATTTTTGATATTTTTCCCCAGGCTTGGGATGTGGGGCGTGATATTCTCTCAAGATTCTGGGCTGTGGTGGGGGACCACCGCTCCTAGTCCATCACGCAATCATGAGGGGTGACCCTACTCTAGGGGACCGTGCTGCTAAGCTCGGCTGTTGGAAAGGTTACGTGACTTGAGCCCATTTTCACTGTAGGATATTCCCTTATTTTCCATGGATGTAGCCCCCACTATAAATCAAGGGAGTGTTGATAGTCCCAAGGGAACGTCTAGGTCACGGGTCACAACCAGAGAAACAGGTCAGACTCTGGGCCACTGAGCGTGTGGACGTGCAGCGTGGATATAATCACAGATAAAAGTGAGCCGGAGTCATTTCCCCTGGGCAGAGGGGCGGACAGGCCGCCCACAGCCTGCAAGGTGCAGCAGCCTCAGCACCTGGTGTGGGGTAGCAGGAGGGGCCCAGGCTGCAGGTGTGGGGCCCCGAAGGGCAGGTTGGAGAAGAGAGTATTTGCAGAGGCCTCTTCCTGGTCCCCTCAGCCCTGGGGTTGTGTCCCCAGGTCTTTTCACACCAACGCACCTGGGAGGCAGCGCTAAGCCGTGCAGCGTCACTGAAGAGGGAAGCTTTTAACAAACTCAGCCTTGACCGCGTTCAGCTCCAGGAAAGCAGCACCACCCTCCAGGGCCTTGAGGAAACCGCAGGGAGGTGCCGAGAAGGGCAGGACGGCACCTACAGGTTAAGGTCTTGGCACTTAGCTGAGAAATGGGGAAGCCTTGTGGGTGGCCACTGTCCCCAAGGCTCGTGGAGACGTGGGAAGGTCCTTATTACCCCAGCCTTTCTCCTCCTGTTCCTGAGCCCAGCCCGGCTGTGCCTGGGTGGGTGAAATCCGTCTGGTAACCTGGGGGTCGCTTGGTGTGGTGCCCTCCGTCCAACAGGGCGAGTCTGCCTCCGCTCCTTGTAGCACAGGCCGTGGAGAAAGTCCAGTTAGGAAGTTGAAAGGCGTTGGATTCGCTCTGACTCCCTGCTCTGTTTCCTAAATTCTGCAGTTTTCACTAGGGGACCTCATCCTGCTAAGCCCCTGCTTTCTCATCTTTAAAGTGTGTATGGGGAAGGGGGTATGACAGGGGGACCTACCAAGGTTGGATTGTTGTGGCAGTTCCCTGTATGTAATGTACTTGTCCCTCGGTGTCCACAGGGGTGGGGCTCCGGGAACTCCTGCGGACACCAAAACCCACCGTCGCTCAGGTCCTTACGTCCAGTGCCAAAGTGTCTCACATAACCTACACACACCCTCCTCTGCTTTCAAAGCACCTCTGGGTTACTTCTTACTTATAACACCTAAAGTGATGTGTGTGCTGGGTGAGGAGTCCCCATACTGCGTTGTTGAGGGGATGAGGACAAGGAAAAAAATCTGCACCTGTTCTGCACACGCACGATTTTTAAAATACTGCCCGTCTGTGGTCGATTGAAATCTGCAGACGCAGAACCATGGATATAGATGGGGGGCGGGGGGGCTGTATTGATGTATCTTCTGCGATGCCTGCAGGAATTGAGAGAACTCACACAAGGGGCTCGGGAGAGTGTGAGACCAGTGCTCAGCCCTGCATGCCATTATGCATCATCCATATCACTTACCTGTGTGACCTCATCGAGATAACTAAGACAGGATGAGTTGGCAGGTATTCATGGCTTTTATTTCTCTCTTTAAATAATTCAATCCTTTATTTTAGCTGCATGACCTTTTTTTTCTTTCTTTTTTTGGACCAGGGATTGAGCCCAGAGGAGCTAAACCACTGAGCCAAATCTCCAGCTCTTTTTTATATTTTATTTAGAGAGAGGGTCTTGCTAAATTGCTTAGGGCCTTACTAACTTGCGGAGGCTGGCTTTGAACTTGCAACCCTCCTGAGCACCTGGGATTATAGGCATGCACCACTGTGCATGGTGGCTTTTATTTTTAATATAATTGGATTGCCATTTTTTCTTTTTTTGGTAATGGGGACTGAACTCAGGGGCACTCGACCACTGAGCCACATCCCCAGCCCTATTTTGTATTTTATTTAGAGATAGGGTCTCACTGAGTTGCTTAGTGCCTTGCTTTTGCTGAGGCTGGCTTTGAACTTGCCATCCTCTTGCCTCAGCCTCCTGAGCTGTTGGGATTCCAGATGTGCTTCATTGCACTAAAATACACATAACCTGAAATCTGCCATCAGTGACGATGATACAGAACTTTTTATAATGGCTCTGTTTATCAGCCTGCTTGCAAAGTTCCTGAAAACTTAAATGTCTCTTGTGAGATGGTGCCGATGAAGTAAGAATTTTAGTCTCAGCCCTTTAGATGATGACCTGGTCATTGCATAGCTTAAATGACCTCAGGGATACTCACACGTCCACACCTCTAACTCCTACCTTCCTCCTTCTATGTGCTGAGGTTCAGAATCAGTAGCCTATGGTTTCCAGTCAATATGGGTGCTGGGGATCTGATCACGCCCCTGGGCCCCAGGGTGGAAGTCCATGACCTGTCTCACCCTCAGCACTGAGCCTAGGGCTGGCCTCATAGTAGCTGCTCAGAGAACTTTTGTCAAATTTGAAGAAGCTGGGGACGAGGGAGAGGGTGAGAATTCCTAGAAGCAGGTGACTATAAATAAAAGGCAGACAGTGGGCACAGACTCACGGTGGCAGGAATAAGTTCCCGTGTTCTACTGCGCAGAAGGATGAGTGGGGTTAACAGATCATGCGTTTCAAACTAGCGAGAAGAGAGGAGTTTGATGTTCTCACTGCAAAGAAATGGTCAGTGTTTGAGGTGACGGGTACATGAGGTCCTCAGATGCAGTCATCCCACATCACATCCAGGTATCAGCGCTTCACAGGGTGCCCTATAATGTTGGATGTCCCCAAAGGGCCTGTGTTTCAAAGGCTTGGACCCCAGGACGGTGCTCTGGGAGGGTTGTGTCACTTTATGAGTTGGGGCCTAGGGGAGGCCTTTAGGTCACTGGGGATGTGCCCTTGAAGGGGTTGTGGGACTCCAGCCCCTTCCTCTTTCCTTTCTGGCCATGATGGGAGTCATTCTGCTCTGCTCTCTCGTCTCCCATCTGCCCCTGACATGCTGCACTGCCACAGGCCCAGACAACGGTGACAAGGACAAGCACCTCCAAACTGTCAGTCCAAATAAACCTTTTCTAAGCTGATTATCTCCGGTATTGTATTATAGTGATGAAATCTGACTAACACAAACATCTCTGATTATCACGTGTCAGTTAAAAATAACAATGTGGTGATAAAGGCCAGAGAAAGGTGGTGTCTCTGTTGGGGTGGGGGTAGGGGTGGGAGGGGAACCATAGGTAATACCAGGAAGGCGGAAACCCAGGCTTCCCTGAGAGGTGAAGGCTGCTCCAAACTTGGCCTCCAAGTTTAGAATCTCACCTATTTTGATCCTATATATGATTGAGGAGGAAGGAAAGGAGAGAAGGAAAATGTTGGTAAATATGCACAGGCCACCAGGAAACTGGATGCTCATGGTGTAGAGTGATAACCATCACGGATATTTCTTAAGCCCTGACGCTGCTCTGTGAGCTGTTAAATATTCTATCAGAAGCAGCCGGTTCAACTTTCCTAACAAGCCCATGAAGAATGAGCTGCAGTTGTTCCTTCAGAAAGAAGAAAACTGAGTCTCAGAGAGGTCAACCAGTTCCTCCTAGGGCTGCCCAGCTTGTGAGTGGAGTTCAAATCAGTTCTGGTGTTGTACCTCCAGCCCTGAAATATTTCTGCGTTTTGGTTTCTGTCTCGGTGGGTGGGATGACCCTGGGACCAAAGTCAACTGTGTTTCTTAAGAAAAGTTTCTCTTCGAAAATCTCCATGGAACAGTCCTGGAGAAGCTGGAGGAGGACCAGACGGGGTGGAGGAAAGACAGGTCAGCGTGGGAACCAAGGGAGGAGGGGACTTCCCTGGAGGGATTGGGGGAAGGCATGGTCACTTCATGGAAGAGTTTGAGGGACGTGGGGATTCATACGGCCAGGGAGGCCCTTGGGCCTGAGCTCTTTCTCGCTGGAGCGCTGCAGTCCCTGCCTGTGGGGCCAAAGACGGGGAGCAAGCCTGAGCCCTGGGGTGGATCAGAAGACAGCAGGAGCTCTGCAGGTGTTGACGAGGGGACTGGAGCTCTTCCTGCCAGGGTGAGTGCCCAGAACCTTCCAGAAGCCCCCACCCACCAGGTGCTTACTTTTTACTTCCAATTGACCCCATCTCACTTCCCTTGTCTTCCGGGCGGGGAGACTGAGGCTGCCGGGGGCTGAACAAGAACTTGCCCAAGCTCACCAGATTACGGTGCAGACGGAAGCTGTGCTCCAGCCCCGGGCCAGCTTCCCCGGGCTCCGACACTGGTGGAGCCCAGGGTCTCGGACACAGTCCTGCCTGCCCCCTGCACAGCTCTGTGCAGGCCACGCCCATGAGGAAGCCCTGGCCCCTGACTGTCTGCAGGGTACAAGGCTAGAGCCGCGTGCTGGGTCTGGTCGTCTCTCTACCTGGGTACCTTGGGGATTCGGCCTGCAAGTGCCGGGTGCCACGGGTCCCCTTCCTGATCCCGCCCCCTGGATCTCCTTGGTGGATTCTGTCTTTACCGTAGGTCTCCTTGCCGCTTCTGTGCACTTGTGCATGGCTCCACAGTGGGGACCTGTTCTAGAAGTGTGTCATCAGGTGAGTCTGGTATTTGTGTGAACATCGTCGAGTGTTCGCGCACACGGCTAGATGGTGTGGCTGCTGCCACACACCTGTGCTCCAGCCTGTGGCTCCAGGCCGCCCCATGCAGCTCTGACACTGTAGGCAACGTTAGCACAAGTAACATTGGAGCCTGTGACAGAGAAAGGCTACAGCACCCACGCCAAGGGACAGCAATTGTCCAGCTCCATTACAACCCAGGGGACCTCCTCCTCACACAGTCCCCTCTTGGCTGAAAGGTCAGTAGGTGATGGCCACACACAGAGACCTCTGACGGTTTGATCCCTACACCCATCACGACATCTCCACTCCATGTGGCAAAGCCGGGTCCCACGGACTCCCTGACTGAGCCCCACCCCCACATATTGCTTGGGCAGAATGTGGACGGTCAGTCAGTATTAGTTGCTGATGGGGAGACCTTGGTCCAAGGGTACGGAACTTCAGATAATACCAGAGGACAAAGCTCAAGAGATCTACTGCCCTTCATGGTGACTGTCATTACCAAAAACACACGGCCTACTTGAAAATTGCTCTGAGAGTAGATTTTAAGTGTTTTTACTATAAAAAAATACAAGTATGTGAGATAATGCATGTGTTCATCAGCCAGTCCACAGAGCACACGTATTTCCAAAATACCATGATGTACAACATAAATATATTCAACTTTATGTGTCATTTTAAATACATAAAGGAATAGGTGAATATGGTTGCAGATATTTGCTGTGGGACACACATGGCTGTCCTGTCTACCATTCAGCAGAAAGGATGCAAAGTACTTTCAGGGTCACTTAGTACTAAAAACGGCTCCACGAAGCCAGGCCTAGAGTGGTGCCAGCCATCAGCCCATGGTGGCCGCGGAGCACTGAAATATGGGCTGGGGTAGCCGAAGTGACTGAACTCTAAATTAATTTAATCAACTTAAATAAAAAAAAAAAAACCAACAACAATACTCAGTCCATTATTAGAGAGCTTTTAAGTTCGTTTGGGACAACTTGAGTGTGAAAGCTACTCTTTCAAATTAAGATCAAATATTTACAAGTGAAATTTACAAGTAAAATTCAAGATGCAATGTATCACGAGTACACACCTCAGTTTGAACTCTTAATATGGAAAAAAGAATGTATATAAAGGGTCTCACCAACAACTTTTTTATTTTGATGACAAGCTGAAGTGACAATATTTTAGATATATTTAAATAAAATATATCATTAAAATTAGTTTCACTTGGGCTGGGCACAATGGTGCACACCTGTAATCCCAGTGGCTCGGGAGGCTGAGGCAGGAGGATCATGAGTTCAAAGCCGGCCTCAGCAACTTAGCAAGGCCCTAAGCAACTCAGCGAGACCCTGTCTCTAAATAAAATATAAAAAAGGGCTGGGGATGTGGTCCAATCCCTAGTGCCAAATAATAATAATAATAATAATTTCACCTGTTTATTTATTTATTTATGGTATTGGGGATTAAACCCAGGGGCACCCTACCACTGAGCTGCATCCCCACTCCTTTTAATTAATTAATTAATTTTTTAAAAAATTTTTTGGGGCCAAGATCTTGTTAATTTGCCCAGCCTGGCCTCAAACTCGTGATCTTCCTGACTCAGCTGCCCAAGTGGCTAGGGTTCAGGTGTGTCCCGTGCTACCCAGCTTCCCCTGTTTCTTTTTAATCTTTTGTTAAAATGTAGCTATTAGAAAAATTGCAGTTAGACCTGTGGCTCCCGTGACATTTCCACCGGATGGTGCTATACCATGTTTTCCTTCATTTTACAGAGGAGGAAACTGAGGCACAGAGAGGACGAGTAAATTCACAGTGGAACACAGCTCCTAAGTGGAGCTGAGATTGGAATCCAGAAGACAGGGCTCCAGAGCCAGTCCCCTTCGCCACCTGGCTACACTGTGGTGTCATGGCCCCTTCTATCCCTCACGGATCAGAGAGGGGAGTTTGTGCAGAGGTAGCTGAGGACCAGATGCACAAACACAGCCCAGAAGGGCACCCGCACCTGAGCCGTCTGCTCTGGGTGAGAGTCAGCGACGTGTTAGGACCTGCCTGTGTGTCCTGAGCAGATTCCCATCCGGGGTGGATTCCTGGCTTCCTCATGTGCAGCCCCGTCACACGAGCAAGAGGGAAATATTTGTGAGCATCAAGTGAAAGAAAGAAAGAAAGGAAAAAAAAAAAAGTAAGGCGTGGAACAAAACACGATTGTGTTCTGGATGGTTGGGTTTCAAGTAAACGAAACTCGTTCTCTCTCTGAGTGTAGCTCTAGGGACAAAAGCCAGGTCACCTCCCAGCTGCTGGGAACGCCTGCTGGCACTGCAGGGCTCTCGGCCAGTTCTGGTGACGGGACTCACGTCTGGCCATTTCTGGGGGACGCGAGGGGCCAGCCCCTTGGGGAGAAGATGGAAGGGCCCGCTCCTCTGTCCGTGAAGCCAGCTGACCCCCGGCCAGGCTGTCACACTCAGGTCCCCCGAGAGGAGAGGCGGCCACTCACAGGGCCTCCCCCGCGGCGCTCCCCAGAACCCAACCCAAACGGGATGGACGCACCAAGCACGGGTCCCCCGAGCAGAAACACACCGCCAGGCCTTGACCCAAGAATACACCACCCAAACCAGACTCCCCGCTGACACGATCCAATCTACCCCGGTCCCCCTCGTCCCCCGCCATCTGTTACAGAATCAAAGAAACCAACAACCAAATCCAGGACCCTTGTGTTCTAAGAATCAGAGAGGCCAGCTGCAAGGAAGGCTCTGGGGACGGCCGGCAGCGTGCGGGGTGACGTGGGGAGCTTTTGCTGGTTTTATGAAGGGTGACCGTGGGTAGGTGATCTGGGCTCAGCAAGGTCACGACCCTTCCTTGCACCAAGGAGTGGATCTATTTTTCCCCTCTCCTTGAATCTGGGCCCAGCCCCAGGACTTCCGAGGACCCATTTAGAACCCGGCAGAGTGGTTTTGTAGATACTGGAGGTGGTTTTGCTTAAAGTAATAAACGACGTCACCTCACACCGTTTCTGTTGGGTCGGGCGTTGAATTCAAGAGCGTCACTAGGGTGCCCACCCAACCACTGCCTGTGTGACCTTGGACCTCCCCCTTCACTGGGATCATGGGCCCAAAACAACTTCTGTGGTCCTCCCCACTTTGCCTTGAAAAGCCCCCCGCCCCTGCCTCGACCTCCCGTTTTTTTATTGTTGTTTGGTACCTGGGACTGAACTCAGGGTCACTCAACCACTGAGCCAATCCCCACTGAGCCCCATCCCCAGCCCTATTTTGTATTTTATTTAGAGACAGGGTCTCGATGAGTTGCTTAGGGCCTCGCCATTGCTGAGGCTGCCTTTGAACTTGTGATCCTCCTATCTTAGCCTCCTGAGCTGCTGGGATGACAGGCATAAGCCACCACACCCGGCTTTGACCTTCATGGTGTCCCCTGCCAGGCATGGTCCCCGGGCACCACTAAACTCCCGAGGAACAAATTCATCTTTGCAGCATCTGTAATTTAGGTTCATGCTCTTGACCACATCTCACCCCACCTCAGGATGCTGTGGCTGCTGACGATGCCCAAAGAAACGCAGAGATCTCCCTGGGGCTCCCTGGACTTTCCTGCTCAACCACTGGAGCCCCCTGCGTCCCTGGGGCTTGATGCTCAAGGGCCCACCATCAGCAAGTCCTGCGAGGTCCCTGGGACCTGGGGGCCGTGGCCTACTTCTCACCACCTCCCTTCTTGGGTCACCATCACTGTCCACCAGGGTCACCTTTTCGCAGTGGCCCCCTCCTGGTCTCTGCTTCTCCCTCTGTCCCCCCAGAAGTCTGTTCTCCCGGCAGAAGTCAGAAAGAGGTTGAGAAAAATAAGAATCAGAGCACAATGGACCAGAGCTTCAGATCCTACTCTGCCTCCCGCATTCAGCACAGAGTAAAAGGTCAATTCTTCACTGGGACCTACCGGGGCCGTGGCCTCCTTCCCGGCCTCCCGGGCCTCCCCAAGTCCTTCTCTCCCTCCCTCGCTCTGTCTCCCCCCACTCTGGTCTCTCTGCTGTTCCCACTGCCTGGAACACCCTTCCCCTAAATATCTGCACTCTCCAAGGACTGCCCCAGCCCACCCAGAACCTGCATCAGGCACTTCCCCTTTTGTCCTAGTAGGTGCATCTTCTTCTCTCTCCCCCTCTCCCCAGATCCACCCTGCCTCCAGGTGTTAGCTCCACTCCTCTCTCCTTCCACGGAAACCTCCCATCAGCCATCAGCCTTCAGCCATCAGCCATCAGCCATCAGCCATCAGCCAGGCACGGTGGCACACACCAGTTGTCCCGTCCCAGGGACTTGAGAGGCTGAGGCTGGAGGTTGGCAAGTGCGAGGCCAGCCCGGGTGACTTGACGAGACCCCGTCTCAAAATAAAATTTAAAAAGGGCCTGTCGAGGTGTGGCACCGTATTAGAGCACCCTGGGTTCGATGGCCACAGCCTGTCCCCACAAGCCCCGCCCCAAGCCCCCGCCAGTCACCTACTGGCTATGTTTCCCTGGGCAAGTTGCTTAATGCTTCTGGCCTCCTTGGTTTCCTCAACAAACAGACATAAACGGGAACACACACAAATAGAAACGCTGATCTCACAGGGATGTTGGGAGGATTAAGAGGGATTATGCATGTAAGACTCAGAGCCTTGTGAGGTCACAGAGCAAACACCTAGCGGGCCCCGGATGAACCGTTGCCATGAATCTTGTCTAAATATGACCATTAATTATCAGGCTTCCGACGATCATTAACCACTGTGGCCGGAGGGATCCTTACGCTGGCCTCCGGGCCCCTCCTGACCACATCGTGATTAACAGACATTCTCTGAGTGAACGAAAGGTCGCGGGACCTCTGTGGGGGGAGATCTTGGAGGCTTCACAAGAACCAGAAAAACTCTACTTCCCCTTTCCTTAAAAATTGCAAACAAACGCACAAGATGGCACATGCTTCAGACCTTAAGGTTCTTTTCATCATCTTCTCTTTACACAAAACCCTTTGCCCTGTACTTTTTTTTCCCACCATGAGAAGTTGATTCTACTTTCTTAACCACCACAGATTTTTTTTTTTTTTGTATCAGTGATTAAACCCATGGGTGCTTCACCACGGACCTACACCCCCAGCCCTTCTTATTTATTTATTTTTATTTTGAGAAAGGGTCTTGCTGAGTTGTTGAGTCTGGCCTCTAACTTGCGATCCTCCTGCCTCAGCCTCCTGAGTCCCTAGAGTTACAGTTTCGGGCCACCATGCCCAGCACTTCACAGGGTATCTTAGGAACTCGGGTCCATGCTCCCTTCAAAGGCTTTATATCCCACCTTCTTTATAACACAAGATATTCTTTACTATTGTCTCCTTCCTCACTCTTCTGAAGTCAGGGTTGGCCTCATTACTTCTCTGAGGACAGAAATCTTAATAATCACAGTACGGTTGTCATCACCAGCAATGGTGACCCTTGTTAACTATGAGACAGCCAGGATCTAAGTACCTCCACACATACCGAGTGAGTGAACTCCTAAGCAACCTCCAAGAATGTCTCTAAGTGAGAGGTTTGGGAGGCAGGGGAGGAAGAGACCACTCCGCTCCTGGCTGTAATTGGTCTTTGTGGTGTCACATATATTTGGAAGTTTCAGAAACCCCAAACACCTCCATGTCTGTTTAAGAATCCCTGCAGGCTTGGTCTCTAGGATGGAGCTATCAGGAGGTGACCAGGCCTTTCAGAGCTGGGATCTATCAAGAGGTCTGTGAGTCATTGGAGGCATAAAGTCTCTCTCTCTCTCTCTCTTTTTTTTTTCTCAGTCTTAGGTGAGTGGCTGCTTGGCCACATGCTCCTGCCATGATGTACCACCTCTGGCCCTAAGCAACAGTCCAACTGGTCCTAGACTGAAACCTTTAAAAAGGTGAGACTAAACAAACCTTTCCTCTTTATAAATTGGTCATTGCAGGTATTTGCTATAGTGATGGAAAATGGACTCACACAACATCCTTGTTTGGCAAATGTTTCTAGAGAAAACTGCTGTGGCCAATACCAGAATTTGCCACCAACATAAGATTTTCCCCTAAAAGTGTCTTCCTGGGTTAGTAGACTAAACAGTTCCCTGGCATCAAAATGCAATTCCTGATTCTACCATTAACGAGCTAGCCGTGTGGGCTTCTTGGAGGCTCCATTTCTTCATCTGTGAAATGGGAACAACATTAACAAAATCTCAAAAATTTCTTGTGGGGACCCCATGAGAAGAGCCACAGGCACAGGTCTCAGCAAATCATTTGTACTCCATAGATGAGGGCTGTTATTTTTACTATATGAGCTAAGGGACAAGCTATTGCAGAGCACATACCCCTTCCCCCTCTGATAATGGGGCTTGAACGCAGGGCACTCTATCACTGAGATGTACCACTGAGCCCTTTTTATTTTATTTTGAGATGGGGTCTCGCTAAGTTGCTCAGGATGGCTTCCAACTGATGATCCTCCTTCCTGCCTCCCAAGTAGGGTGTCACAAGCTCTCCAGGATTACTCCACTGATCCTTAAATAAAGGACCAAATTCAAACTACTCAAATCCTCAGGTGGTTTTTACAACATCTCTCCCCTCCACATATCCTGCATTCCAGCAAATCTGGCCAGTGTATCACAGGCCAGACACACCCCATGAGGTCTGTCCCGGGGCCTTTGCTTGTGCTTCTACCTCCAGAGAGCTTGGACCATGTTCCAGTTTCACTTCTTGAATGATATTAGCCTTTAACAAGTGACAAAACTGTGAGGTTCAGTTCCCTCCATGTAGTATGAATGGATGACGTGCATCTTACAGATACTGAATGAAGATCGAGGGGAAGGGAAGCTCCTCTGACCCAGGGAGGTAGGCTAATAACAATAATTACAAAGTTCCCCTTATTTGTAGTTTCACTTTCCACAGCTTTGGTTACCCATGGTTGATTGTAACCATAAAACGCCAAGTGAAAACCCCCAGAAGTAAATAATTCAAAAGTTTAAAATTGAGCGTTCTTCTGAGAAGCATGATAAAATCTCACACTGTGCCACTCCATCCTGCCCAGGATGTGAATCATCTCTTTCTCCAGCGTATCCTTGTTGTATATGCTACCCACACGTTAGTCTCTCAGTAGCCATCCTATGGATGGACTTTCATGGTATTGCAGTGTGTGTGTTTAAATAACCTTATTTTATTTAATTATGAGCCCAAAGTGCAAGAATGGTAATTAAAAGGGGGCACCAGGACATAAAACCTGGAAGGACAGATTAACTCTACTATTATACAGCAATGCTGCAGAGCATATAGGAAAACATAGTATTGTAGGTTCCATAGTATCTGTGGTTTCAGGCCTTCACTGAGGTCTTAGAAAATATCCCTT